CACTTGCTCTACAGGTTTACAGCTGGGGACGTAGTATGTATACTGATCTTCTCGCATCCCTGAACACCAACTACACCCCACCATTCATCAAACACTTAAGTGAGCACTTACGAAGCCTGTACATCTTTGCTCCATTAGGGATGGTTTGTTGATATTTATTAAACAGTGTACGAGCACCAGAACACTACGAGCTGCTCAACTGTCTACTACAGACTCGTCCGCCATGATTGATCAAAGATCAACCGCTCCCAAAGTTGACACTCAACTCTTGATGAATCTTGGCCTAGATAATTGTTACAACTGCCTTAAAATGAGGCACTGCGGCGCAATAATCGCCTCACGTTCGAAGGACCCAGGGGCCAGATTCACGAAAGCACTTACGAACCTGTACATCTTTTCTCAATCTTCGGTGGCTTTGTTTACAATTATTAAACAGTCAATGAACTCCGAAGCACCAGGAGGCTGTTTATAACAATAACAACAGTTGATTGGCAAGTTTTCATGCTTGTAAACTGTTTACTAAATGTAACTAAAGCCGGTAAAGATTGAGGAAAGATGTACACGTTCGTAAGTGCTTTCGTGAATCTGGACCCAGGTTCGTTGCCCAGGCCAGACAGAAACTATTCATTTCGGTAATTATCACCTCATGCCTACGTTCACTCAAATACTTACCCGTGAGTCAAGCAACTATTGTGGGTAGCAGCCTGACGTAAGGTGAGTAGCAGGTCTAGGAAGGACCTCCTAGAAGAAGACCTAAAAAGGGTTCCTCCTCAACGGTAATTTAGAGATCTCAAACAGTCGAGGGAGATAATCCTGTTGCCCTGAGTGTTCAGTACAAGCCCTGGTTGCTACACTGACTGTCTTGGTTTTTGCATGCTCCGAGTTCGATCCCCGATGATCCAAATTATGGGGGAATCGTTCCTTCACTCTGTCCTCATATCCTAACTCCTTGTCCTCATATTCCAGCACCTCACCCTCATATCATGGGAATATGAGGGCTGGGCCAGCAGGAATATGAGGCCTGGGCCAGCAGGAATATGAGGGCTGGGCCAGCAGGAATATGAGGGCTGGGCCAGCAGGAATATGAGGGCTGGGCCAGCAGGAACATGAGGGCTGGGCCAGCAGGAATATGAGGGCTGGGCCAGCAGGAATATGAGGGCTGGGCCAGCAGGAACATGAGGGCTGGGCCAGCAGGAATATGAGGGCTGGGCCAGCAGGAATATGAGGGCTGGACCAGCAGGAATATGAGGGCTGGGCCAGCAGGAATATGAGGGCTGGGCCAGCAGGAATATGAGGGCTGGGCCAGCAGGAATATGAGGGCTGGGCCAGCAAGAGAGCATGAGGTGGGCCAGAGAGGGCTATGCCAGTAGGAGGATAAGGTTTTGGCCAGCAGGTGTATGAGTATAAGGGGTTGGGCCTCTTTAACTCCATCCCACAATTTGCTACTATGTCTGTATTTCAGCCAAACTCACAATGAGGAAAAATCATTCATGGCCACAAAAATATCAAGCCCGCACCTCACAATTCCCAGCTGGCCAGCCAGGGGAAAAAAATGAGGCGAGTAATGTTCATTGAACCCCTCACAACCCTCATGATTTACACCTTTCATGGTTCTTACTGTAAGGGTTACTATCCTCTGTTGTGGCTCTCGCTGGAAGCAATCCAGTTTACCGTTGTAAGCGTCATCATTAGCTCTCCCGTTTGCAATTGTTTTAACAGAGAAAACAAGCAAATCAATGGAATGGAATGATCAGGGGAAAAGCGCCAAGCCATTACGACTATATAGCACTTGGAAGGGGTCAGGATAAGGATTTGGGATGGGACGGGGGAAAGGAATGGTGCCCAACCACTTGGACGGTCGGGGATTGAACGCCGACCTGCATGAAGCGAGACCGTCGCTCTACCGTCCAGCCCAAATCAATTCTGGAACTGATTTGGCCGCAGCGATGTGGGTCACTCATAATTCCCATTGGTATCCCATTATTTTAAATCGAAAAAAATTATACAAATATGAATCTAATTGTAAAGATAAATTAGGTGAATGGAAACGTTGCCTAAACGCTTCTGTCCTGTCGAAGGAATCGAACCCGGGAAGCTCATTACGTTAAAAATATCAGCGTCCGCTTAAATCTTCGAAGACATCAAGGTAAAGGAGAATAACGAGACAGGTGTGCGACTACCTTACAGGTGAGACGCTAATCTTGAGATGAACACGGAGACAGATCGTCACCTTGCTATGATTCAGGGCATCATCAGCCTTGATGCTGGGCACTGCCGGGTATGTCCCCTTGTCCATTCATAAACCACAATCATGCTACCCATAACAATCGTTAAGATTAACAAGGTGCTCAAGGGGGGGGCCCGTCGCCCCCTTACACCCTGTGACCCTGGCGGCCATGATAGATTGGGCCGGGAAGATACAGTTAAGTAACTAGATTAAGTTTATGAATTGTTTCATCGCATTAAATCCTCTCTTCTCCCGGGAGTGGAGGGAGAGGGATGACCTCTTCACCACATGCTGGGGGAAACGATTCTGGAACATTATATAAAAGATATCTTAGGTCCCTTTGTCACTGCCTATCCCAGCCTCTTGTGTCAGTATCACTGGCGTGTTTATTCACTTCAGTGCTGAGAGCGGTCTATTACGTCTGGTTCACTAACCACCAGATGGCATCATTATCAGAAACACAGCTTGATGACATGTTAGCATGACGAGTCACTGGATTGTTTCAAGCGTAGGTTAGACATGTGTCTGAATGAGTTTGGGTGAATATGAGCTGCCTAGTATAGGCCTTTAGATTCCGTTTCCCTTATGTTTTTAATCTTATGTTCTTATTCTTATGTTCTCCTAAAATTCTAAATTTCAATTGATCACCGAACGAGGCGTTCCAGAAGTAACGTTTCCAGGAATGTTGACCAGACAACACATTAGAAAGTGAAGGGACGACGACGTTTCGGTCCGTCCTGGACCATTCTCAAGTCGATTCTTAATTTGATTTGAAAGATGAGAGAGAGAAGCTTCGCTGATGAAATGCTAGGATTTTTAAGTACAATAAGCATCCAATAAGGCTGCAACAAATTAGAATCCAGCATATCACAACTTTGAGGAAAATATCCACCAATCAGATGGCGTGAATTTGATTTGTGTTATCTGTGAATTTGATGTGATTTGTGAGTGGATTCGAGTCACTGCCAAGCAAATCTTAGAAACGCGAAGAACCACTGCTGGAAAAAAACGTGCTGTCTCAAGTTTTCAGTCATTAGACAACGAGAAAAAACATTGTGAGGATACAGCGGCTGCTGCAAAATGCTGTGGACACAGGTCTGTGGAACACTGCATAGAGCCCGCTCTGGTCTGTGGAACACTGCATAGAGCCCGCTCTGGTCTGTGGAACACTGCATAGAGCCCGCTCTGGTCTGTGGAACACTGCATAGAGCCCGCTCTGGTCTGTGGAACACTGCATAGAGCCCACTCTGGTCTGTGGAACACTGCATAGAGCCCGCTCTGGTCTGTGGAACACTGCATAGAGCCCGCTCTGGTCTGTGGAACACTGCATAGAGCCCGCTCTGGTCTGTGGAACACTGCATAGAGCCCGCTCTGGTCTGTGGAACACTGCATAGAGCCCGCTCTGGTCTGTGGAACACTGCATAGAGCCCGCTCTGGTCTGTGGAACACTGCATAGAGCCCGCTCTGGTCTGTGGAACACTGCATAGAGCCCACTCTGGTCTGTGGAACACTGTATTTTCCGAAACCTGCATTTTTACACGGCATTTTCATTACCCGCGAGGCTTCGCCGTCTTATTTGTTTCTTTGAGGAGCGAGTTCGTGCTCGCTATGATTACAGTGTGCGCGTCTTAGCAAATATTTGCTTTCCTTCATGTCAGAGTCTCCAGGAATAGAGCGTGTGTATGGCTTCAGTTTTCATGCTCCCTTTGATGTCTTTGACCTGCGTTTTCGGCCAGATTTGTAGGTCGTAGATTTCTACAGTGCCAATGATAGTTACCCATTGGAGTTTTATAGTGCCAACGGCTGTTACACTGGAGTTACACCAAAAACATTGTTACCGCCTAGAGTTCTAGGAATCTTGAAAACTATTAAAATGTTTTCTGTGAGTCTTACAAGGATTCAGTTAGAGAGGTTTCTATGAGTCTTAAAATGCGATAGAGGAGTTCCTCTAAGAGTCTAATTCCAACAGGCACATGACTCCCACCTACGGAGGCTTGTACACCCAGGGAGGTGATGTATATAAGTGTTAGCTTTCTTACTGAATCACTACACCACTTGTTAATGGTCCCGGGCGGACCGAAACGTCATCGTTTCTTTGTCTTCTGATGTGTGGTTTGGTCGTAGTAACTGCTTAAGCATAACCTAGAGAGACAGAGAGAGACAGACAGACTAGGGGGCTTCCTAAGATAAACATCTTCGATTATTTATTTTGAATTCAACAAAGATGAACACAAGCACATGTGTGTACCACAGTACTCTGTTAATGCAATCTCTGAGTTACTAGCTCTGGCTTGGTCTCTCTCTCTCTCTCTCTGTCTCTCTCTCTCTCTCTGTCTCTCTCTCTCTCTCACTCTTTCTCTCTCTTACATTACATATCAAGACAGATCTCTTCCTGGGCTAAAGACACTGCTTCACCGCCACTGGGAAGATCTTAAGTAATGGAAATGTTAACTGTTTTGAGTTAATGCAGCGTGAGTCTTCAATATTGGGATATCTCGAGGCGACACCTTGTGGGATCCCCACACATCTGGTGGGGTCCCCACACACCTGGTGGGGACCCACCCACCAGGGGGGGGGGGGGGAGGGGAGTAAAGTTGATGTTATCCAGTAGCATGATATAGGGCAAGATTCGCCCCCCCCCACACCTCTCACCCCACCAAACGTACCCCCACAATCTTGCCGTTTGCTCTCGCCTGTATATCAAGTCCAGTATAACCAAGAGGGCCCCCCACATAACCAAAAAGTTCCGTATAACCAAGAACCAAGTCCTCACCTCTTCTACAGCGGCCTGAGTGGTGGAGACCGCGCAGGATTTTCTCCTGTCCTTCTTGGACTTGGAGTCGGAGCCGGCCGTCATCTTGCCCGGGCTAAGTCCGGAAGTCCGGCCGAGGGGGGTTCGGTGCTTGCGTCACTACTTAGTCATGGTGCTCTTGTGGTCTCTTGCTAGTAATGAGAGGTGTGGTTTCTTACTAGTAATGAGTACTGTGGTCTCTTGCTAGTAATGAGTGGTGTGGTCTCTTGCTAGTAATGAGTGGTGTGGTCTCTTGCTAGTAATGAGTGGTGTGGTCTCTTGCTAGTAATGGGTGGTGTGGTCTCTTGCTAGTAATGAGTGGTGTGGTCTCTTGCTAGTAATGGGTGGTGTGGTCTCTTGCTAGTAATGAGTAATGTGGTCTCTTGCTAGTAATGAGAGCTGTGGTCTCTTGCTAGTAATGGGTGGTGTGGTCTCTTGCTAGTAATGGGTGGTGTGGTCTCTTGCTAGTAATGGGTGGTGTGGTCTCTTGCTAGTAATGAGTACTGTGGTCTCTTGCTAGTAATGAGTGGTGTGGTCTCTTGCTAGTAATGAGTGGTGTGGTCTCTTGCTAGTAATGAGTGGTGTGGTCTCTTGCTAGTAATGAGTACTGTGGTCTCTTGCTAGTAATGAGTGGTGTGGTCTCTTGCTAGTAATGAGTGGTGTGGTCTCTTGCTAGTAATGAGTGGTGTGGTCTCTTGCTAGTAATGAGTGGTGTGGTCTCTTACTAGTAATGAGTGGTGTGGTCTCTTGCTAGTAATGAGTGGTGTGGTCTCTTGCTAGTAATGAGTGGTGTGGTCTCTTACTAGTAATGAGTGGTGTGGTCTCTTGCTAGTAATGAGAGCTGTGGTCTCTTGCTAGTAATGAGTGGTGTGGTCAGTGAACAGTATACTCTTGACTTTAATGCTATTTCTTGGTGTGTTCTGTGCTGTCTTCAGAGGGCGTCAGTACACCTTGAGTGTCCTGTGTTGTTCTCACCCCCGGGGACAGGTTCTGTGTCTCCCTCGTGGTCACCGCTGTGTACTGCGGCTCTTCTGACTCCTTGTGTTGTCGGGGTGAGTGTTGCTGTGTTGAGAGGGCGAACTGAGGTTCGTAAGTGACTCTTAGGCGCATGATAGCGAGCGAAGAGGATATTTGTCAGTTTAATGTGCATAGCTACAATGAAATATTTGCTTTATCTGTCTCTCTCTGTCTGTCTTTCTCTCTCTCTGTCTCTGTCTCTCTATCTCTCTGCCTCTGCCTCTCTCTCTGCTCTCTGTCTCTGTCTCTGTCTCTCTCTCTCTCTCTCACGTCAAGACATTTGTTTATGGGATAGCTTACAGCTTACAGCTGATCGCTTACAGGTGTTAAACAGAAGTTTAGGATGGAAATATGAATCGAGATGTGACAAATGCCTATCAGAGGGAGGGTGAGGGGGACTATAATCCCCCCCCCCACCCTCTCATGGGAGGGGAGGGAAGGGGAAGCTTATCAGGGTAAAGCGCCAAGCCATTACGACTATATAGCACTGGGAAGGGGTCAGGATAACGATTTGGGATGGGACGGGAGGAAAAGGAATGGTGCCCAACCACTTGGACGGTCGGGGATTGAACGCCGACTTGCATGAAGCGAGACCGTTGCTCTACCGTCCAGCTCAAGTGGCTGGGCTCATGAGACGGGAAACTACACCTGCCATGAGAGAGAGAGAGAGAGGGGGGGGGGGGAATTAAGCACACACCTGTCACGTGAGAGGAGAACTAACCACATCTGTCACGAGAGAGATCTGTCTAGGGCACACCTGTCGGTCCCGCTGTTGTCGAGGTGACGGACAATGAGTCTGTATGTCACCCACCGCGGGACCTCATGCAGCCACATACACACATACATGCAGCCACACCTACACATACAGGCTACCACTCCAACAAGGTGGACACACCTACCCACATGTGACCACACCTACACGTGGCCACACCTACACGCGGCCACACCTTCACATGAGAGCATTGACACTTGGCCACACCTACACGCAGCCACACCACGTGGTGTAGGCCAACAAATTAGTTCACACATTTCTCTAACTTCTCAATATATTACAGTTTCAAACGTGTTAAAAGGCTAGCTAACCTAACTTTCCCCGCCCATGGAGGAGTCCCCAAAAGTCTACTACTAGAAGCCTCCGCGCCACACCACCGACCGCGTGCGTCAACGATCGTTTAGATACTGGTGCGATAGATCTTAATTCTTACAGGTGGCGACGAGCACCTGGGCCCCTCACCGGCACACACAACACTGACTGCTGCTCCCCTTTACCCTCACCTATATACGCCTTCCCCTCAAGCCTTCCCTCACACATGCCTCCACACACCCACCCAAACCATATCTAATTTTTAACCATACGCTGTAATGTGGTTACTAGCGGCAATTAAGCCATATTTTAAATTTTAAAGCCATTCGCATTTTATTTTTTCCAGAATCGGTCACTGTCCTTCCCGGTACAGAGCGGAGGAATGATGAATGAGTCGGCCAACCAAAACTCTTGGCGGGGAAATTCGTGGCTCCTTATTGGTGGGATGGCGGCAGCCAGGCAGCCAATCAGCGGGAGAGGATGTAGTGCGCGTGCGCACTAGCCTTGCCTCTCCCCCGCGCGCGGGAGCGCCTCCCCGCCACCATTCACCACCTGGCCTGTCGAGTCCTGTTCGATAAACATTATTTTCACCGATTTTATATGTCGCTCGCTTATAAATATTAGCGACTTTAATATGATCTACCGTGTCACCACTGCCAGGACACGATAATTCAACTTTATGTCCACGACTAAATGCTAGGATACAATGGATCGACCTTCCCCCTCCCCCCCCCCACTAGGGGGCACAGGTGAAAACTCAGTACTCAAATGTCCCAGATACATTAGAAAGATTATTTTCAGTTATAACAAATGGAATGCAACAGTTTCTTCCTCTCCTCTCACCCCGTCGATCAAGCTCCTGGTCCCCGCCTGTGACTGAGCGGCACACTTCTCTTTGCAATACATCTTCCTTGATAGCCCCCGCCCCTCCCCCTTCCCCCTCCCCAGGCTCCCCCAAGACACACACGCCTCGTCCTTAACTTCAAATTCCTCCCGAACTTGCATCAATTGCAACATTTTTAGCAAGCGTCTCTGAATTGCTGCTGAGAGCGTCTCGATATATTCTTGCAAGGGTGTGGTGACGTCACTACGACGAAGGATGCCGCTACCAAGTTGACAGTTCACCTCAAGTAAACTCACCCCCTCTCCCATGAGGTAAATTCACCCTCTCCCCTTAGGTATACTACCCTGTCCCATCGTATCCCATACCCCCCACAACCCCCCCACCCCTCCGAATATATTCCATCATTCCACTCCACCTATTGACACATGGGTTGAAGACAATGGATAATTCCACCCATGAAGAGTTGGACAAACAGGTGTGTGTGTGTTATGTAATCAGCGAACAGGTGTGGTACTGAACACCACGTCATACAACTTAAAATATATGTAACTTACTCTTCTCTATTACAGGTTTCCTCAAGGGGGGCGATTACCCCTTCCCCTATCACTAGTCCGTAAGGAAACTTTACAACAGGTATGTGAGGCTACAGGTATGTGAGGCTACAGGTATGTGAGACTACAGGTATGTGAGTCTACAGGTATGTGAGGCTACAGGTATGTGAGACTACAGGTATGTGAGGCTACAGGTATGTGAGACTACAGGTATGTGAGACTACAGGTATGTGAGACTACAGGTATGTGAGACTACAGGTACGAGAGACTACAGGTATGTGACACTACAGGTATGTGAGGCTACAGGTATGTGAGGCTACAGGTATGTGAGGCTACAGGTATGTGAGACTACAGGTATGTGACACTACAGGTATGTGAGACTACAGGTATGTGAGACTACAGGTATGTGAGACTACAGGTATGTGAGGCTACAGGTATGTGAGGCTACAGGTATGTGAGACTACAGGTATGTGACACTACAGGTATGTGAAACTACAGGTATGAAACACTACAGGTATGAGAGACTACAGGTATGAGACTACAGGTATGAGAGACTACAGGTATGAGACTATAGGTATGAGAGACTACAGGTATGTGAGACTACAGGTATGAGAGACTACAGGTATGTGAGGCTACAGGTATGAGAGACTATAGGTATGTGAGACTACAGGTATGAGAGACTACAGGTATGTGAGACTACAGGTATGAGAGACTACAGGTATGAGAGACTACAGGTATGAGAGACTACAAGTATGAGACACTACAGGTATGAGGCTACAGGTATGAGAGACTACAGGTATGAGAGACTACAGGTATGAGACACTACAGGTATGAGACACTACAGGTATGAGGCTACAGGTATGAGAGGCTACAGGTATGAGAGACTACAGGTATGAGAGACTACAGGTATGAGACACTACAGGTATGAGACACTACAGGTATGAGACACTACAGGTATGAGAGACTACAGGTATGAGACACTACAGGTATGAGAGACTACAGGTATGAGACACTACAGGTATGAGACACTACAGGTATGAGACACTACAGGTATGAGAGACTACAGGTATGTGAGACTACAGGTATGAGACACTACAGGTATGAGACACTACAGGTATGAGACACTACAGATATGTGAGACTACAGGTATGAGACACTACAGGTATGAGACACTACAGGTATGAGACACTACAGGTATGAGACACTACAGGTATGAGAGACTACAGGTATGAGAGACTACAGGTATGAGAGACTACAGGTATGAGAGACTACAGGTATGTGAGACTACAGGTATGAGAGCCTACATGTATGACAGCCTACATGTATGACAGCCTACAGGAACTCATTGTATTCACTCACAGCCTCCACTCCTGGCTGGCGGTTCCGCTGGTATAAACATCATTCAAAAATCTCTGTTGTCAGAGCCGGATTTACTCACCTCCTTCAAATGGCGCAAGAAAAAGAGAAAACGGTTTAGTTATTTGGGACGAGGCGGAATGGGGTCGGTGGATGGGTGGAATGGTGGGTGGAGAGGGAGGTGGTGTGTGGGTGGAGTGGGGGTGGGAGGATGGGGATGGGTGTGGGGGGGGATGGCGCCTGGTGGGGGTGGCATTGGGATGGGGGAACACCTGGCAGCACCAGCTGGCAGCCATACACCTGGCAGCACCAGCTGGCAGCCATACACCTGGTAGCACCAGCTGGTCGCCATACACCTGGCAGCCATACACCTGGCAGCACCAGCTGGCCGCCATACACCTACCTGGTAGCACCAGCTGACAGCCATACACCTGGCAGCCATACACCTGGCAGCACCAGCTGGCCCTCACACCTGACAGCACCAGCTGGCCAATTACGTCAAATCTATAAATTAAAATCAGTATCTGAAAATTTAGACAGTGATGATGTTATAATATATAATATATTGTTGCTTTTCCATGCGCTCCAAGATGCGTGTGAGTTCGGGCCACATATGTTGGAGCCCCTTAGGGAAGAGTGATGAGGAAGTATGAGTTACTGGGAACCCTGGCAACCCTGCTAGCGCCCCCACAGTGTTGCCATATGAGAGAAACACCTTTCGTCATGTCTGATCTACGGAACATAAACCATTTGAGAGGCGGGACCAAAGAGCCAGAGCTCAACCCCCGCAAGCACAACTAGGTGAGAATTTACAGTCACAAGCTCTCAATATCTGTATGAAATACGTATGAATATCCTGTACCAATATGTAGTGAAAACTAAAAAAAAATAATATGAAATGCGATATAAATATTAGACCTAGCCTAATCGCTCCCAGTAATCTTAGGCCTAATATATTACATATATATGTGCGATAATAGGCTTAGAAATATTTAACTTTGCTTTTTTCGGACTATAAAATGAATAGTTAAAAAAAAGTGGTTCGCTGGTGGACCATCACTTCATATAGGAACTTTCCAGCGAGTAATTACTATATAAGTACTATCACTTTATAAGGATGGGACGCAATATATAATATACGTATATGTCATATATTCCAACTATACGTATATTCATATTTTCAAAAATATATGAATGGATATACATGTGTTCTCGTTTTAAATGTATTTCTACTGCGTATTTGGTATATACATTTTAAAGTGTGGTAGGTTCACATACACTAAAGATATATATGATATATAAGAATTATATCCAATAGTGAGGACACTTAAAAATAAACCTTTATTAATCTCTTCGTTCTTGAGTTGTATGAATTCCATGAGGCTATACCTGCATGAGGCTACACCTACACGAGGCTACACCTGCAGAGGCTACACCTGCATGAGGCTACACCTGCATGAGGCTACACCTGCATGAGGCTACACCTGCATGAGGCTACACCTGCATGAGGCTACTCCTGCATGAGGCTACACCTGCATGAGGCTACACCTGCATGAGGCTACACCTGCATGAGCCTACACCTGAGGCA